GCCTCCTGAGACGTCTTGGGGCGATTTGGGGGGCTTGTATTGTCGTCGTGGACGCTTTGAAAACTGAAAGCGCGAGAATTGCGAAAACGCACGTTTTCCGATCGGTTATGGAACGTTTTTTGCTTGTGCGGGCCCCACTTGGAGCGTTTTGGTGCTCTCGTGGGTGCCTCTTGGGGCCGCCTGGGGCCGTGGGCGCCTGTGGGGCCGTCTGGGGACCGTCTGGAGGCTCTCTTGGGTCATCTGTGGCCGCTCTTGGGGCTGTCTTGATGGCTTCTTGGGGTGCAGTGGGCGCCAGGAGAGCCGTCCTGGGGCAGTCGGGGACTCTTAGGAGCCCTATGGGGGCCTCCTGAAACGTCTTGGGCCGATCTTGGGGGCGCGCATTGTCGTCGTGGACGCTTGGAAAACGAAAAAAAAGCACGGGAGTTGCGAAAATGCGTGTTTCCCGGTAAGTTTTGGAACGTTTTTTGTTTGCGCGGGCTCCTTCCGCTCCGTAGCCCCGGTCTGCTTCTTCCGACCGACCGATCGCGCCCCCCCCCTGCCCGAATGCGTCCTCCCGTCCCCCTACTCACCCCCCGCGCCCCGTGGCCCCTTCTGCTTCTTCCGACCGACCGACCGACCGTGCCCCCCCCCCCCCTTTACCCGGCCGCGCCCCATCCCCCCCCCTTTACCCGGCCGTGCCCCCCCCCGCCCCTTTACCCGGCCGCGCCCCATCCCCCTGCCCCCCACCCTGCACCCCTCCGCCCCGTGGCCTCCGTCCGCCCGGCCGGCCGGCCCCCCCTCCCAGCACGACCGTGCCCTCCCAGCCCCCTCTGCCCCCTTCCCCCTCTGCGCCCCTCCGCCCCGTGGCCCCCTGTGCCACTTCCGACCGACCGACCGACCGCGGCCTCCCTCTGCTCGACCGTGCCCCCCCGTGCCCACCCCCTCTGTTCATTCCGGCCGACCGACCGTGCCCCCCCCTGCCCGACCGCGGCCCCCGAGCCTCCCCCACCCCGCGAGACCGTGCCCGACCACGCGCCCTCCCGCGCCCCCCCCCCATTCCCTCCGTGGCACCCCCGTTCTGTTTATCCTGACCGACCGTGCACCCCCACCCCTTTTGTCCGACTGCTTCACCCCGCGGCGCACTTCCCTGCTCCCCCCGTGCCTTCCCCTCTGCTCCTTTCCAACCGACCGATCGTGCCCCCCCACTCTGCCCGACCGTTGCCCCCCGTGCCCCCCTCCTGTCTCTGATTGCTCCGACCGACCGACCGTGGCGCCAAATTACACCATGGCTCCGACGAGCTCAGAATGACGTAACAAGTCCCTCACACCCAGGTTCCCAAGGGCGAGCAACCTTTCAAACATGCTTCATATATATATATATATATATATATGTTTGTTGTCTCTCGGTGCCCTTTTCGGAGGGTTTCTTGAAGGCCTCTCGCGTCGTCTTGGGGGCATCTTGTGCCGTCTGGAGGTCCTCTTGGGCGTCTTCGACCGATCTTTCGACGATTCGGGGCATTTTTTCCATCGCCTCGGGAGTCTCTGAAGGCCTTCTTGGCCCGTCTTTGGGTCTTCGTGGCGCCCGAAGAGCCCGCGCGACACACCCCAGGCCTGCGCGAAAGCGCGCAGGAGCGCCTGAGAAACCAAGGGTCCGGGCCCTTAAGCACCGTGCACCCCCCCTGCCTCTCAGGGCTGCATGGGCCCCCGGGCACTCCACAACGTGCTGAAGACGCGGTGGCGGATCTTGGCCACGCATGCCGTCGCGCCCGCCCCCCCCCCATTTGGGACCAAACATTTCGCTCCATACAAAAGGGCCTGCATTATAAAACACGCCGTTGAAGCCTCGTAAACCTCACCCGTCATATTAAGATCGCCTTCAGATCGAGCCTGGTGCTGCGTCCACACAGCCATGCTGCTATTCGCCGCTCCCCTGTTATGGTCACTCACCAGCGTGTCGCAGCACTCGCGCACTTTCCCGGAGCTGCCGCAGGTTTGGTGCCATCTCGATTCCCCAGTGCCCCGCATCCGTGATTGCATGATCCTTGGCGCGCGTGCCTCTTGTTCTTCAGTAGTGAGAGTTCAACAACAGCAACAATCATTTTGAGACTGTTCGCTCGTACCTCTTCGCTCGTACCTGCTCGCAGTTCCCAAATCCTCGATACCCGCCCTCTTCGTCTTCGATCGCGCCCGTTTTGGGAGTATATCCTCCCTGCAGGCCGGGCCCGGGCAAGCGGCGGGGCGGCCGCGGACCGTCGGCCTGGCCAGCGGCAGCGCTCATCGGCGGCAGCCCGACCCCAAGAGGGACGGACAGGGGACCGACCACGACGCCGACAACGACGACGACGACGACGACGACGACGACGACGGCGACGACGACGGCGACGACGACGAGGACGAGGACGACGAGCGAAAGCGATAGCGACAGCGGGGCCACGACAAGCAGCAAGGGGGCCACGAAGGGCGACAGCAGGGCCACGAAGGGCGTGCGTATGGGGCTACGGAGGGCGCGAACGAGCGGGGGCCACGAAGGGCAGATAATGCGGGGCCACGTAAGGGCAACGACGGGGCCACTGAGGGTAGCAACGGGGCCACGAAGGGCAGCGAGGGGGCCACGAAGGGCTGCAACGGGGCCACGAAGGGCAGCGAGGGGGCCAAGAAGGGCTGCAACGGGGCCACGAGGGGCAGCGAGGGGGCCACGAAACGCTCCAACGGGGCCACGAAGGGCAGCGAGGGGGCCAAGAAGGGCATGCGTATGGGGTCACGAAGGGAAGCGAGGGCGCCACTGAGCGCTACAACGGGGCCACGAAGGGCAGCGAGGGGCCACGAAGGGCTGGAACGGGGCCACGAAGGGCAGCGAAGGTGCTGGGAATGGCTGGAACGGGGCCACGGAGGGAAGCGAAGGCGCCGCGAAGGGCCGCAACGGGGCCACGAAGGGCAGCGAGATCCCGATTTCTTAATAAGCCGTGAGGGAGTCCTAAGCCTGAGCACGACTCCTAGGTGCCTGAATGTCGGGAGCGCGGCGCTTGAGTAAATGGCGGGAAATTCCAACGCAAGAGCGCGGTTCTTGAATACATTGCGAGCAAGTCTCCAGCGAGAGCGCGACTCCAGAGCGCCGAGAAAGCGATTCCTGTATAAATTGCAAGGACTTCCCAAGCGAGAGCGCGATTCCTGAGCAAAATGCGAGGAGTCTCAGTCGGGAGCCGTTGTTCTTATGACCGGCGGGCCAGGGGCGCAGCTTGACCCTTGTGACTTTCCCTGATAAAAAAGGAGCGAGCCACGGAGGAAGCACTTCAAAGGACAAAAACACAGTGGTCACCAGAGGGGGGAATCAACAATTCTTATTCTTCTGTAGTGGCAGTTCAACAACAACAACATTCATTTTAAGATTGCTCGCTCTTACTGGCACGCGTGTCTTGCATTCCGGATACCCCAACCTTCGATACCCGCCCACTTCGTCTTCGATTGCACCCCCTTTCGGGGGGAATCTCTTCCTTGTCGGCCACTGACTGAAGTGCGAGGAAATCTCGAGCGAGAGCGCCGTTCCTGAGTTCGGGGGCCTCTCTAACCAAGGGCTCTCGGAATATTCATGGACAAATATCGAACGGGAGCCCTTGTCGCCGTGTCCGGGCCTCCACCGACTTGCCTGAATTACGAGAAAGTCTCGAGCGAGAGCGCCGTTCCTGAGTTCGGGGGCCTTCTTGGCCAGGGGTTCTCGGAGTAAATCGCGAGGAAGTATCGAGCAGGAGCCCTTGTCGTCGTAGCTGGGCCTCCGCCAACTTGGTTGAATTGCGAGGAAATCTCGAGCGAAAGCGCCGTTCCTGAGTTCGGGGGCCTCTCTGGCCAGGGTGTCTCGAAGAAGAACTGGAAGGACGAATCGAGCAGGGAGCGTTGTCGTCGTGGCTGGGCCTCCAAGGGCCCACCACGGTTAGGCTCAAGCCAACGCTAGAGCGGGAGCCTCGTTTTCAAAGAAAATGTAGCCGGCGTCGAGGCGAGAACGCGCGGAACCGCTTCTGGAGATCACCACTAATTATTCTCTAGAAATCAATATCCAACAACAGCAGCAACAACAACGACACAACCACCACCACCAACAACAACACAGCAACAGCAGCAGCAACAAGAACACCACCACCAACAACGCCAACAACAACAGCAGCAAAAGCAGCACCATTACCACCACCACCAACAACAACAACGACAACAGCAACACCACTTCCACCAACAACAACAGCAACAGCAACAACCACAACAACCACAACCACAACAACAACAATCATTTTACCCTCATGCGCGATGCCTCCACACGCAGCATGCGACCGTCATGATAACCATCCCCATCATGGGGGATTATTGTTCTCGCGCGTGGGTCCGTTATTCCAGTTCCCAGAACTTCCGCCCAATGCGGTCTTGCAAACACCTCCTCCGAGGAATTTCAACATTTCCCGCCTCGAAAACACATGCCGGCGGCCTGCTGCGCCGATGCGACACCCCCAGTGGAGCCCCAGCCAATGGTAAAGCACAAGGAAGTATCAAGCGACAGGATTGGCTTTGTAGGGATGGGGGCTGTCGGCGGCGAGGCAAGGACCTGGCTCTGAACAGACAGGGAGGAAGTCTCGAGCAAGGATGCTGTTGTTGCCGGGAGCGGCGCCACTGCAGAAGAGAGTAGGGCGCTAGTCCAGTGTAAAACGTAACGAAGTCTCGAGCGGGAGCGCTGGTTCTGTTGGGACGGCGGTTGTCGGCGGCGAGGAGGAACACCGCCTTGACTAAGAAGGGAAGAAGCCTCGAGCGGGAACCGCGGTTTTGTCGGGACGGGGGCTGTCGGCGGCGAGGAACAGCACCGTCCTTAGAAATAAAGGAAGAAACCTCGAGCGGGAGCGTTGTTCCGGCTGGGGGCGGCGCCAACTCAAAAGAGAGCAAGGCGCCAGTGGCGGCGAGCAAGAGCACCGGCTCTGAGTAAAAAAACAGAAGTTTCGAGCGGGAGCGCTGTTTTTGCTGGGGGTGGCGCTGGTGAGAGGAAGAGTAGCGCGCAAGTCCACACGGGAAAAGCTCTCGAGCGGGAGCGTTGGTTTTGTTGGGGCGGCGGTTTACGGCTGCGAGCAAGAGCACCGGCTCTGAGTAAAAAAGGAGGAAGTCTCGAGCGGGAGCGTTTTTGAACTCTCATTTCTGAAAAAAAAACTATTGTTGATCCCCCCCCACCGGTGCACACTGCTTTTTCTCAATCGAAGTGTGCCCCTCGACGCTCGTACCATTTTTTTTTGACAGGGGATGTCTTGATGCTCAAACTGGGCCCCTGGCCCCCGGGTTGCAACAACAACGGCTCCCGCCTGAGACTTTCTCACAATTTAGACAGGACCCCTGCTCCCGCTGGAGACTTCCTCGCATCTAATTCAGGAATCGCGCTCTCGAGTGGGACTTCCTTACAATTTATTAAGAATTGTCTCCTGGCGCTCTGGAGTCGCGCTCTCGCTGGAGACTTGCTAGCAATTTACTGAAGAATAGCGCCCTTGCGTTGGAATTTCCTGTAATTTACTCACAAGCGCTGCGCTCCCGACACCGAGGCACCAAGGAGTCGCGCTCACGCTTAGGACTCCCTCTCACATGGCCTAGGAATCGGGATCTCGCTGCCCTTCGTGGCCCCGTTGCAGCCCGTCGTGGCCCCCTCGCTTTGTTTCGTGGCCCCGTTGCAGCCCTTCGTGGCCCCCTCGCTGCCCTTCATGGCCCCGTTGCAGCCCTTCGTGGCCCCGTTGCTACCCTCAGTGGCCCCCTCGCTGCCCTTCGTGGCCCCGTTGCAGCCCTTCGTGGCCCCCTCGCTGCCCTTCGTGGCCCCATATATGTATGCCCTTCGTGGCCCCCGCTCGTTCGCGCCTGTGGTGGCCCCATATGCATGCCCTTCGTGGCCCCGCTGTCGCCCTTCGTGGCCCCCTCGCTGCCCTTCGTGGCCCCGTTGCTGCCCCCATTGGCCCCGTCCTTGCCATCCGCGGCCCAATATACGTATGCCCTTCGTGGCCCCCGTTCGTTTGCGCTCTTCGTGGCCCATATGCATGCCCTTCGTGGCCCCGCTGTCGCCGTTTGTGGCCCCCTCAGTGTCCTACGTGGCCCCGTTGCTACCCTCAGTGGCCCCATCGTTGCCTTCTGTGGCCCCGCATTATCTGCCCTTCGTGGCCCCCGCTCGTTTGCGCTCTTCGTGGCCTAATAAGCATTCCTTTCGTGTCCCCGCTGTCGCCCTTCGTGGCCTACTTCGTGTCCTTCGTGGTCCTGCTGTCGTTCTCTCCCGCTCTCGCTTTCGCTCGTCGTCGTCGTCGCCGCCATCGTCGTCGTCGTCGCCGTCGTCGTCGTCGACGTCGACGTAGTCGTCGTCGTCGTCGTCGTCGTCGTCGTCGTCGTCGTCGTCGTCGTCGTGGTCGTGGTCGGTCCCCTGTCCGTCCCTCTTGGGGTCGGGTCAACGGTTCGCGGCCGCCCCGCTGCTTACCGGGGCCTGGCCTGCAGGGAAGAAAGGTATAACCCCCAAAAGGGGTTCGATCGAAGACGAAGAGGGCGGGTATCGAGGGTTTGGGAAATACGCGTTATTGGACACTCGAGCGGATAAGGGCGAACAGTCTTAAAATGATTGTTGTTGTTGTTGTTGTTGTTGTTGTTGTTGTTGTTGTTGTTGGGGGGCCGGTTTTGGCGCCCCCCCGAACCGCTTGAGCATGTTCCTTACTTTCAATGAAAATAGAGCCGGCGCCGAGGCGAGAGCGCCAGGGCGCCTGGGAGGGCCCAACAATAAAAATTGTTTGGTAATTCGCATTCAACAACAGCAGCAGCAACAACAATATCAACAACAACAATCACCATAACAACAACCCTAACAACAACAACAGCAACAACAACAACAACAATCACAACACCAACAATCACAACACCAACACCACCAACAACATCAATTACAACAATAACAACGACAACGACAACGACAATGAGAACGACTACATCAGCAACAGCAACAGCAACACCGGCAACATCGTCAACAACAACAACAACATCACCCACAACAAAAACCGTAGCAACAGCGGCAGCAGCAGTAAAGACGGCAGAAAGCTCCAAACAACAAATTCTTTATGGCTAGGTAAGAACCCCTATGCTAAAGCATATTTTGGGGATCAACGAGGAAGCTTTCAAAAACTCAATGAAAATCACTCGTGAAGCTCTCTCGAGAGCCCTCTAGGAGAACTCTTGGGGCGTCTTGGGGGCTTCTCCGGCCGTCTCGAAGCCATCTTAGACAGTCTTGGAGCCCTGTCGGGTAGTCTTGGGCCCTCCCTGAGCGTCCCGGAACCGACTTGGGGCAGTCTGAAGCCGTCTTGGGGCAGTCTGAAGCCGTCTCAGGACGGCCAGGGGACATTTGAGCCTCAGGCCTTCTCGCGCGCAAATGCCCCTGCAATGTAGGTCAGATGACGTTGGGCTCCAGCTTCGCCTCACACATCTCGCTGAGCAGCGCCACCGCCCGCTGCCACTGCTCGCCCTTCTCGCACGCGCTGATCCCAGCGCTGTAGCTGAGTAGGGCTGACCCGTGGACTCCATCCACGACATCTTTCTGGAATGGTTCCCCGAGGAACGGCGGAGATTTTGCCGAAACTCTATAAGCACGGCGGCGGCCAGGGCGGCGGCAGCGAGACCGCGCCTTCGTTTCCGCGATCTTGCAGCGCTCCAGCAGCTTGGCCCCGGCGCGCGGCTCCTTCGCACCCCTCCTACTGAGGGCAGTTTTGAAGTCTCTTGGGGATGTGTGCCAAAGTCGAGACCCATCCGAGACGTCTCAATGACCGGGGAACGGCCGTTACCTGGGGGCGGCGGGCCTTCTGCAGGGGCATCTTGGACGCAAAACTAAAGAATAGTAAAAAACGCTCCAAGATGATGAAAACAAAAAAAATACTCCAAAGATGGTCCCCCTGCGCCATCCAGGATGTGTTTTGTTCTTTCCCGGGGAACGGCCGTTACCTGGGGGGGGTGGGGTCGGGCGGGAGAGCAACGGTAACGGCGGCCGCGGCGTGCGCCCGCCAGGGTGCGTCCGCGCCACCGGCGCTCGCTCCCAGCAGGTCGGGGGAAGGCCCAGGCCCCCCTCCCCTCTTCGGACGCCCGAAATGGGCACGGAAAGAATGGGCACAATGCCCAACAGCAAATGTTGTCCCGAACCAACGGCGGTCGCTGTTGGGCAGGCGGCCTTCTGTCTCACATGGACACAGGCCGCGGCGGCGTGGACAGCGAGTCCTGTTCAAAGCGAACAAGATCCGCTGTTGGGCATTGTACCTATTCTTTCCGTGCCCATCTCGTTCGTGCAGACCCTCAGCACGATCGTTAGCGTTACCCGGGGGGGGGAGGGTTTGGCCCGAGTAACGAGCGTTACGCCAGGGAGGAAAGAAAAAACGCTCACTCAGGAGCGCCCGCGGAAGGGCTCGGTAGGCCCTCGGGGAAAGCTACCGGGAGCGCTGGGGAGGCTCGCAAGGATCTCCAGGGAGGGCCCAATAATGTGACATCTAATAAAATCTTAATCGAAACCGCCATTGGGGCGGACGTGCTCCAGAACGTTGGGGAGGCCGTTCTGTTGGAGTTCAATTGAAGACGAAGCTCCCTCGGGCATGTCAAGAGCGCCAGGCCCCCTCTCGTGGAGGTAGTTTTGAAGCCTCTTTGGGCCTCTTGGGGGGTTGAGGGCCTCTCGGGTCCTCTTGTGGGCCTCTTCGAAACCTTTTGGGACCCTCTTGGGCCGTCTGGGCTCCTCTTGGGCCGTCTTGGGGCCACGTTCAAAGCTCCGCACGTCATCTGGACCCTCATGAGGCTCGCTTCTGGGCCCTCTCGGGTTTCCCCCTCCTCCTCCTCCACCTGCTCATCCGCCTCCGCCTCCTCCTCCACCTCCTCCTCCTCCTCTTCCTCCTCCGCCTTCTTGCCTCGATCCTGCATGCCCTGGATCTTGGATCGTCAATCGTAGACCCTCGGAGCATCGAAAACGGCTGCTGGGGCCTAGTCACTCTGTCCAGAAAACCTGCTGATGGCAGGCGCTTCCTCCTCGTTGAGAATCGTTTGGGGGCCTCTCGGGGTTTCGTTTCGGCCTCCTGCGGGCCTCTGGGGGCCTCTTGGGGCCCTCTTGGGCCGTCTTCGGTGCTCCCTGGGCCGTCTTGGGGCCGTCTGATGCCGTCTTGGACGCCCCTGGGGCCGGCTTGGGGCCGCCTCGGGGCCGTCTTGGGCTGTTTTTGGCCACTCTTGGGGCTGCCTTGGGTGACGATTGGGCCGTCGTGGGCGCCTCGGGAGCGGTCCTGGGGCCGTCTTGGGCCGTCTTGGGGCCCTCATGGGGCGCTCCTGATGCGTCCCGGGGCGATCTTGGGGGCGTGAGTTGTCCTCTTGGACGCTTTGGAAACGAGAAGCACGGGAAATGCACACATTTGCGTTTTCCCTAAGGGACCGGGACGATTTTGTTTTTTCGGGCTCTCTTGGATCTCGTCCTGGAGCCCGCTTGGAGCGTCTTGGGAGACCTCTTCGGCCGTCGGGAGGGTATCTTGGGCGTCTTGGAGCGCTCTCGGACCTTCTTGGAGGCCCTCTTGGGCCGTCGTGGGGCCCTCGTGGGGCCCTCACAGGGGCGTCTCGGAGCGCTCGTGGGCCATCTTCGAGCGTCTCGAAGCGCCTCGGGGCCGCCAGGGAGCGCCGCGGGGCCCCGCGGGAGGGCTCCACCGATATCTGTTGCGGCTTCCTTCCGTCACGCCCCTCTGCCGGCCATGTAGGAGAGCTGACGTCGGCCTCCAGCTTGGCCTCCCGCATCCCGCTCAGCAGCGCCAGCACCGGCTGCCACTGCTCGCTTTTCTCGCACGCGCTGATCCCGGCATTGCAGCTGACTAGGGCTGACCCGCGGCCTTCCGGCCGCGGAGTCTGCCCGCCATGGTGTGGACGTGGACATGGAGCGTCTCTGGGGCCTCGCGGGGGGGGGGGGAGGTTGGAGGGGACGGTGTGGATGGAGGAGGTGGCCGCGGGACCCTGGAGAATGGCCTCCGAGGTTACAGAGTCATTTTCGTGGGCGTCGTTGATCCACGAACGATCCGTGCGAGACGTCCGTGCCCCATCGGGAGCCTGGGGGGAAACCTCCAGAGTTGAAACTGGCGTTCCGTGGACGTGGCGAGCTGACAAACGTCCTGGGCGAGGGTTAATTGCTCCGCCCTGGGGCATCGGAAAATAAACCGACTAGTCTGGGTTTGCTTTCCGTGGGAATGGCCGCGCCCTGGGCCATGCATTGGGAGGGTAGGGACGGAACACCGCAGAAACGAAACCCAGAACTCCAGAGCAAGCGCCAAAGCGCAGGTTGACGAAAGTCGTCTCTCCAGAACCCTTTTGCCCACCTGGGACCTCGGAGAATAAACCTCGAGCGTGGTGTTTATTTTCCGTCGACGTGGCGGGCCGAGGAGTGGTCTTGGGGGGGCTTTTTTTGGGCCGACCGCGGGACCATAGAGAATGGCCTCCGAAGTTACGGAGTATGTTTCGTGGGCGTCGTGGATCCACGAACGATCCAGGCGAGACGTCTGCGCCCCATCTGGAGCCTGGGGGGAAGACTTCGAAGTAGGTGCTGGCATTCCGTGGACGTGGCGAGTCGACGAACGTCCTGGGCGAGGGTTGATTGCTCCGCCCCGGGGCGTCGGAAAAGAAACCTCTAAGTCTGGGTTTATTTTCCGTGGGTGTGGCCGCGCCCGGTGGCTTCTGTTCCGCCTCGTAAGAACCGCTTGGGGCCCTGTTGGGCCGTCTGGCGGCCTCCTGGGAGCCCCTGGGGCCCTCTTGGGCTGTCTTGGGTGCCCCTTGTGCCGTCTTGGGGCCGTCTGGGGCCGTCTTGGGCGGCTCCGGGGCTGTCCTCGGACCGCCTTGGGGCTCTCTTGGGTCGTCTTTGGCCCCTCTTGGGGCTGTCATGGGAGCCTCTTGGGCCGTCATGGGCGCCTCAGGAGCCGTCCTGGGACCGCCTGGGGCTGTCTTGGGGCCCTTCTGGGGGCCTCCTGGGCCCTCTTGTGGCGACTTTGTGAGACAATATTGTCGTCTTGGGCGCTTTGAAGACGAAAAGCACGGGAATTGCCAAAATGAGAGTTCTCCTTGAGGATTTGGATGTTTTTTCCTCGTTCGGGCTCTCTCGGGGCTCTTCTTGGAGCACACTTGGAGCAATTTAGGCGCCTCTTGGGCCGTCTGGAGGCTATCTTAAGCGTCTTCGAGCGCTCTGAGACCATCTGGGAGGCCCTCTTGGACCGTCTTGGGGCGTCTTGGGGTCCTCTCGGGGAGTTCCGCTAGGGTCTCGGAGCGCTCTTGGGCCTTCCTGGAAGCGCGCCGAGGCCAGCTGGGGCTCGCGGGGGCTCGCAGGGCCCGCAGGGGGCGCTTGAGGAATGTGTCCGACCCCCGCCCTTCTCGCACGCGCGGGGCCCTGCAATGTAGTGGAGACTAGGGCTGACCCGTGGACTCCGTCCACGACATCTGTCTGGACAAGGTTCTCGGAGGAACCGCGGAGATGTTGCCGAAAACCTAGGAACATGGCGGCGGCAGGGGCGGCGGCAGCGAGACCGCGCCTTCGTGTCAGAGCTCTCGCAGCGCTCCAGCAGCTTGTCCCCAGCGCGCGGCTCGTTCGCCCCCCCTACAGAGGGCAGTGTTGGAGTCTCTCGGGGATGCGCGTCACAGCCGAAGCCCATCTGAGGTGTCTCAGGAGCGCCCGGCGAAGGGCTCCTGAGGCCCTCGGGGAAAGCCACTGGGAGCGCCGTGGAGGCTCACAAGGATCTCCAGGGAAGGCCCACGAGAGCTTCAAGAGGGTGCGAAATTCAATCAAATCTTAACAGAAACCGCTTTTGGGTCGGACGTGCTCCGCTACGTTGGGGAGGCCGATGTGTTGGAGTTCTGTTGAAGGCGAAGCTCTCGGGCGTGTCAGGAGCGCCAGGCCCCCTCTCTCCGAGGCAGTTTTGAAGCCTCTTTGTGCCTCTTGGGGGGTTGAGGGCCTCTCAGGTCCTCTTGTGACCCTCTTGGGCCGTCTGGGCTCCTCTTGGGCCGTCAGAGCTACGTACGTAATCTGGACCCTTATGAGGCATCTTCGGGGACTTCTCGGGTTTCCTCCTCCTCCTCCTGCTCCTCCGCCTCCTCCTCCGCCTCCGCCTCCACCTCCTCCTCCTCCTCCTCCTCCTCCTCCTCCTCCTCATCTTCATCTTTTTCCTCCTCCTCCTCCTCATCATCATCATCAACATCATCATCATCATCATCATCATCATCATCATCATCAGCATCAGCATCAGCATCAGCATCAGCAGCATCAGGGCATCAAAGTCATCATCATCATCATCATCATCATCAGCATCATCATCGGCATCGTGCAACATCAACATCAACATCATCATCATCAGCATCATCATCATCATCGTCATCACATCATCATCATCATCATCAGCATCACCATCAGTCATCATCATCATCATCATCATCATATCATCATCATGATCATCATCGCATCATCATCATCATCGCATCATCATCATCATCAGCAGCAGCATCAT